CAATCCAAGAAAACTAATACAATCTGAGATAGTGGGGCCTGAAGCAAGGTATAGAAAGTCATTATTGTACAATAAACGTATACAATTTAAAAAGAACTCTAACTTCATATCTTTTAGAAATATAGTAAAGTAAAAAAAACACCTGCTTAATTTTTTTTTAATGACAATTATCTCATTTTCATGTTTGGGGATTTTTCTTCTGTTTCTCCCTTCTTTATAAGGCAAGACAGGACCAAGAAATGTCACAAATACCTTGATCCAAGTAAATTAAAAGTTCTGTAATTGAGTGCATTCTCAGTAAAGCAACTAGTCTTGGGCTTTCATTGCATAGGTTCATTTTATAAGAAAGAAAAGAGAAGGGGACTTCCATAAGGATAGTTTCCATTTCTCCCCTTAGCTACCAGCTATAGCATGCTACCACTGCACTATGCTACCATCTTTTTCTTTCTTTTGTGGAGCTTGGAATCAAACCCAAAACATCATGCATGCTAGGAAAGTACTGTCACTGAGCTATATTGCTCCCCGCCCACCATCGCCAGCCCCTACAGCTTCTGCTATCCTTCTGAAGATGTTTAACAATGCCATAGTAAGTCTGCCCTCTCCTTCCTTGGTTCCTCTGCAAAAACTGAGTGCCTTTTGTATACCAGACACTCGGCTGCTAACCACTGGGGGTAGCCACACAGACTTGTCCTAACTGAGCATGCAGTCCTAACGTACAGTGGGCAAGAGTAAGACAGGAAATTATCAGAGTGCAGATAATTTGTGGAAATGTAAGTGACAGTGTGTGAAAAGCAAAGTTCAGGGAGCATACAACTGTAGCCCAAGAAAGGCTGCCTTGGAGGAACTGGCAGTTTGTTTTTATTGTCCACTGAAAGATGAATGTCTAAATCACGTAGCAGACAACAAAAAATGTCCAGTGAAAATGGAAGATGCAAAGGCCCTGTGGTGAGAAGGAGCAAAATGTACTTGAGAAACTGAAGGAAAGCCAATGTGATATGGATTATTGAAACAGTTGGCTGTCAGGACATTTGCATTTAATGTCAAGATAAGATCTGCATTAAAAACAAGCTTAATAATATAAAAATATTGTACTCCATAAGTGTATACAATTATGATCAGTCATTTTTAAATAATATCAACTTATAAAGAAAAAATAGAATAAAATGTACACCTATATTTAATCCAGTTATCCTACCTCTTAGGTTATTTGCCAAAGAGAAAACAAGGTCTATGTCCATACAAAGACTTGTACCCAAATATTCACAATAGCTATAAAACTGTTTTAGTAGACGCAACTAAATTTTCATAAATAATTGAACAGTTAATTCAATTATTTAGTAGAAACAACCTAAATTTTCATAAATAATTGAACAGTTAATATGATATGATAAATCCATACAATAGATTATTAGTAATAAAAATCTAAAATATTGATAAATACAAGGATGAATCATAAAATTTGTAAAAAAAAAATGAGTACATAGTGAATGTTTCTCTACATACTATAAAACTTCAGAATATACAATTTCATATATAGTGACAGAAATTAGAATGGGAATTTCCTAGGAAAATGGAAGAACTAGGGGACAGAAGGAGAAAGAAAAGAAATACAAAACATCACAAGGAACCCATTGTGAGTAATTGACACATTCACTATCTTGATTGTGTTGATGATTTCACGGAGAGATATATATTAAAATTAATAAAATTGTATAGAAAATAAATTATATATAATAAAATGGTCCACTTAACTGTATGTCAAATGTACCTCAACAGAACTGTTTTGGGGTTTGTGTGTGTGTGTGTGTGTGTTTACAGGTGGGAGTGATTATGAAACTGTCACTGTAATCCAGGTGAACCACACAGTGGTTTGGACTAGAGTTAAAAGCGGAGATGGAGAAAAGTGGTAAAATTAAAATGTACTTTCATGGTATACACAAGAAAATTTGCTGATACAGTGAATTTTAAAAAAGAGAAAGAGTCTGGCACTGTGGTGTACTCCTGTCATTCCCAGCAACTCAGAGGCTGATGGAGGAGGATCACAAGTTTGAGGCCAGCCTGAACAACTTAGTGAGACTCTGTTTCCAAATTATCTTTTTTTTTTAAATGGTGGGTTTGTAGCTCAGTGCAACAGGCTTCCTGGGAAAGAAAAAGAAGGAAGAAAGAAAGGAGGGAGGGGAAGGACAGAAAGAAAAATGGGCGGGAGAGGGAGGGAGGGAAGAGAAGAGAAAGAGAAAGAGAAGGAAGGGAGGGAGGATGGAGAGGGAGGGAGAGGGGAAAGGGAGAGAAAAAGGATAAAGGAATGAACAGAGTGGGAAGGAAAGGAAGAAAGGAAAGAATCAATCAGTAAACTCTCTAGTTTGTTATCTAAATAACAGAGTAGGACCATTGCTTGAGGTGGAGGAAAAGTTGGGAGTAGGAATATGTAGAGGATATTCATTCCTGCATTTTTGGAAATAGAGAAACAAAGGCAAACTGAATGTCTGTCATTGAGAGAATGGATACATCAAATGGATATACTACACAGCAGATAAAAGGATGAATTACAAGCACATAGAGCAACATGGATAGATTTCAAAAACTTAACACTAGTGAAAAATGAAAACAGTGAGATATATTTAAAATCATTTAATTACATATGAAACAAATGAAGATGAAAACTGTTTCATAAGGAAACAAGCACGCTTAAGGAATCTAACAGCAAAGTGTGCTCCTTTGCAGGAAAGGTGAATGGATGTGGGGATACAGAAAGAAGCGGAAAGATAAACAGACCCTGAGAGACACATATATGGATTAGGAAAGAAGCTGACTTCACAAAATGAGGAGTTTGATTGATTAACTCTAGTGGCTGAACCCAAGGTCCAAAAAACATTTATTAAAGTAAAATAAAATAACAAAAGATGAAAAGGACAAGAGCTTAGGTTCTTGCTATATTAAAAGGATTATCTAATCTTTCCCTACTGAGCCTTAGATATATGAGAAGCCTCCATAGAGGTTTTTTCCCTCTCTGGACTTTCTTCATTCCCATTTTGTTACTGCTGTGTTACTGTCTTAATAATGTTTTATTCTAAATATTGCACATTCTAGATATGTTTATTGTATGATGTTCATCAAAGGAATCAACTGTGAAATTTAGATCCTGAGGGAAAATATTCAGTTGCTAGTTTTTACCAAACTTTATTACACCAGGCAAAGTAAAGGACCTGAGTCAATAACTAAACTTAGCTCCTAAGTAATAAGTCTAAGGAATAAATAAACAACTGTTAATTCTATTGTAACATCCTTAATAAAGACTAAGCAGTGATGAATACAACCTAATCCTCACAACAGCTAAGAAAAGCTTACAAGAAGTCTGAGCTTACCTTACAAAGGAAAGCACATATATCCTGCTTGCTCAGGTGAGAATCTAAAGGCTTAACAATGCCCCTTCATTCATTTAAATGAATGAAACTGTGCAGCCTATGGCAACCAAGCAGTGGCCCAAATGAAATCACTATCATTACATCCTTAACAAAGTTGATGTCATTACAATCATATCCATAAATCAGGGACACCCTTGCTCCAGAACCTAAAGTTAAGAGGTTATAAGCAGCTTGTTTCTACTACTTCTTTCTGTGAGCATGATATCCAGATTAATCTTACCCTTTGCCTTTTTAGAGTCAGCTACTCACCTAGCTAATGGGTAGTTAAGAGAGTATTAGGATATCCTGTTTTTCTTGCCTTTAATACTTCTAACTGATGGGTTAACAAAAACAGCTAGGATATTTTTAAGTTTATTTATTTTATTCATCCATGTATTTATTTAATATTCACTGAATGTAAGCACTATCTTAGGTGTTTGAGATGCAGTGGTAGAAAAAAAAAGTATAAGGGGCTGGAGTTATAGCTCAGTGGTAGAGTGCCTGCCTCACATGCATGAGGCCCTGTGTTCAATCCTCAGCATCACATAAAAATAAACAAAAATAAAGATATTGTGTCCATCTATAATTAAAAAAATATTTTTATCAAAAAGTATGAATGATGAAAGAAACAAAACAAATGACAATCTGGTAAAAACATCACAGAATTTTGGCCTATTTAAGTAATGTCTCTTGTATCTTTAAACAGCACCTTTTCTCCTTATGTATGTCCAGACTCCACTATGGAGAAATAATGAAGTTTTCTCATTTTTGCTGTATTAGTGCCTAAAAAATTTGGAAACCCAACCATATAAACTGCTTCTGTAAACTTTCATCTATGAAAATGCCTTATTAGATTAACAACTGTCATGAAATCAATACACAAATCACATATCAGCTGCATAGAAAAGATAGTCACACCTTGGGTTATTCAACCACATCTATGAATGCTCAGAAAAACCAGACTCAGTCTTTATGTAAGTGTGAAGAGCTGAGAAACACAAAGCTTCTCACCCACTTTCCACTGTGTATTTTCTCACAGTTGGCAATATTCTTTAGAATATAATTTTATCTGCAAAGGGTCAGCGTAAAGACAAAAAAGATATGCTCAAGAGGAAGTTAACATAGTAACCCATCAAAACATAAAACCTCTCTAGGACATGAGCAATAATACATATTTACAGAGATTTCTTCAGATCAATTCATAATAAATAAAACACAGAAAAGTTTATGTCTTCTTTGGGTTTTATTTTTAATTGACACATATTAACCATACATATTTGTAGGGTAGAGTGTGATATTTCAATTCATGCATAAAATGTATAATGATCAATTCAGGCTAATAAACATAGCCATCATATCAAACACATAGAAACACTCAAAGTCCTCTCTTCTGGCTGTTTTGAAATCCACAATAAATTATTATTAACCTAGTCAACCTACTGTTTTATGGAACACTAGAAATTACTCCTCAATCTAATGGTTAACTAAACTCTACCACCCTTCTCCCTTCACAGCCTCTGGTACACTATTCTACTTTCTACAAATATGAGATCAACCTTTTTTAGTTTTCACACATGAGAACATAAGGTATTTGTCTTTCTGTGTCTGATTTATTTCTCTTAACATAATATTCTCCAGGCTCATCCATGTTACTACAAATGATAGGATTTCATTCTGTTGATGGCTGAATAATTTTCCACTATGTATGTATACAACATTTCTTGATCCATTCAGCCTTTGATAGAAGACTAGGTATAGCTTTGACAGAGATGGTAGAGGTGGGGAATATGGGAACCAGCATGAGCAGACAGCGTGAAACTACTAAAAGCAAACTTTTATCTATTTTATAAATTTGCCTAAATATGATCTTTAAGTATTATTATTAACATAATACTTAAATTGTCTCAAAGAGAAACCAGCAGTACAGTATCAATCTCTAGAGGCCACATTAGTCTTTCATCTAATACCATTATGTTAGTAGGCTTTGCATTCACTAAATATATTCCATGGCTGGCCCAGAAGCCCAATGGCCACTCCCCTCTTTTCAAATATACATGACAGATCTGAGATTCAGTACAGTTCTGCCTTGCATCAACGTCTGACCTTCTTACAGATGTACTGCAAAGGAACTTCACAGCTGGAAGCTTGAAGACCATCTTCATTGATGGCACCACACGTCTGTATCCAGCTATTAGAAATAATCCTGTAAGAATTCAGAAAAGTCCATCACTTGTGGCAACATGCACAGTAAGGGAGCTGAAAAGCATGAAAGGATAAAAATTGAGCAAATTCTTTCTCACTCAACTCCCGAAACAATAGAAGAATAAAAATTTTTCAGGGCTGGGGTTGTGGCTCAGCAGTAGAATGCCTGTCTAGCACATGCGAGGTCCTGGGTTCAATCCTCAGCACCACATAAAAATAAATATTTTTAAAATTTTTCATTAGCCTCCCTCTAAAATATCACTTTTGGGGGCCGGGAGTTGTGGCTCACCTATCACATGGAAGAACCTGGGTTCGATCCTCAGCACCACATAAAATAAATAAATAAAATAAAGGTATTGTGTCCAACTACAACTAAAAAAATTAAAATCACTCTTTTTTCCCCCTTTCCCGCTGTCCACCCACTCTTCATTCCCTTTTTTGGCCCCTATTTTCTTCTCCTTACAGCCTTTCCTCTCCTCTGTACCTGCTATCCTTCATCTATTTATCAAGCCCTGAGTCATGTCATTTTTTTCTTTCCCTCAGCTTCCTCCTCCTTGTTATTTTGTTTCACTCCTTTGAAGCCCTTTACCTTGACAAGTTTAAAGCTGATCCATCTTCCCACCTCCAGCCAGAATTATTCCTCAGACCAATCCAGTGAAAATTCTCACGGATGAAATCTTTAAGCAAGCTCTAAAGGGGAGATTGAAGATGATGAGAAAGATGCAGCAAATTTAAGAGGTTCTGTTGTCATGGTGAATAATTATTCCTCAGACCTCCCTTATTACCGCTGTGGAGGACTGAAAGTTTTGGTCCACCTTCCACAAAATCCATATGTTTAAGCCCCAGCCCTCAATGGCAAGGCTTGGGGAATCTTTAAGAGGTAATTAGGTTTACGTGAAGTGATGAAGGTAGAGCTCCGGTGGCTTATGTGCCCTTAAAATAAGAGACCTAAGCTCTCTTTGCACCAAATGAAGACACAACAAAAAGGGAGCCCTCTGTAAAATGGAAGTGGCACCCATCAGGAACTAAATTTACAAGTACCTTGATCTTGGACTTCCCAGCCTCCAGAATTGTGAGAGATAAATAAATGCCTGTTGTTCAAGCCACTCATGCTAAGGGATTTTTTTTTTTTTTTACCAGCCCAACCTGACTACAACAAGCATCCACCCTAAATAACTCATCCCTCTTTTAATTTCTAATTCTAGAGATCTATTGATTGCAAGGAGGAGCAGCTTCCTACAATTGACCTTTATGTCTATATTATATTCTGATGTGAGAGATAAGATAATGCTACATCTCTACCTTTCATTGCAACTTCCTCCTTGATTAGATGGAACACCTGATAGGTACTGAAAAGAAAGAAACCAAACATTGTTGCAGACACAGTCCTCTTTCTCATCACTGAATGCATAACTTATGATTGATCCTATAGCAATACACTTGTGTTTTCTCACCAAGCTCATTTTCCAAATCCTCATCAATCTTATATATGACGAGAAAACAAAAAACATTCTCAAGAGAACAAGACTAAGGCAAATTTAAATTGGTTACACCACTTATATGTGTCATGCTCCCCAAAGGAACAGATAAAAGATGCTTTACTCTGTATGGTTTTACAGTTTTTAAAGTTTATATCCTATGGGAATTACCTCTATACATAAAGAATAAATTCAAGATTAATTTTGGTGTAAGAATTGCTGTTAACATAATGAATGATTACACTTTAAATATTTTCTAACGACAGCTTAATCACTCAAATATGAATTGAATTAGTTGATAATTTCTTTAGGAGGAAACAGTGCTTTTTATTAAGAAACCAAGAAAGCAGTAAAATTCCACCTCAATGTAGTGATTATGATACCAGCAGACATCCCATTTTTATGTCATTTTTATTCTACTCCTGGAAAATGATTGCTGAACAATAAGGATTCATGGGCTACACTGAGCCATTTTCCTTTAACTAATTGGACTTTTTATCAGAAAATGAAGACTTCCTATTATAAAGTCAGGAAAGGCATGAAACCTCTTTGCACTCCCAGAAAAGATGCTATAGGAAGTACAAGAAGCTTTTGTGGTATTTCACATGTCTAAATAATTTCTATTTTCTCTTCTTTAGGTTTTGGTCCTAAAAATCTAAAATTTTCACTATGTATACAGTCTTGCGTAGTCTGGCCCTTAACAACTATTTACTCACTTACTAAGTTCCAGCCCCATGCACTTTCTTTCTGCTCCTTTAACATGCCAAATGCATTCTTCCTCTAGGGTCTGTGCATAGCTTTTCCCTCTGTCTGCAATACCTTCCCCTAGGTTCTCATATGGCTGTCATTCAGGTCTCAGTCTCAACTCAAATGAGACCTTCCCAGACAGAGGGGGAATGACAACAAATAAAACACAGAAATGGATAAAGCTTTTCTCAGATTTTTCAGTTAGCATCTGAAAAGCTAGGATTAATTGATGCCCACTTACAAACTCCATTCCTGCACTATGTCATTTTCAGTACCCATATAATTCTGAGCCACTTGAGCACTTCTTTTTACTACTTCCTACTGCTGAGGCTATATATTGAAAATTTTTACTGTATCACTTTCACTTGAAAATCTTCCTATTTGGAAGAGCCTTCAACCCAGAGTGCAATTACTTTTCTATGTACTCAGCAAATTTGTGTGTGGGTGCGTGTATGCGTGTATGCATGTGTGTGGCAAAAAAAAAAAAAAAAAGCATGAAGATATAAAGGTGTTAACTCAGAAATATTATCCCCCAGAGAGTGTATGAACTAGAGCACTTAAGAGCTGCATCACTATAGTAATATTCATTTTTATTGTAGAAAAAAACTTGCAAGAACTAGAAGTAACAAGCGAGGTAAAGACAGGACTCAAGCAAATTAAATCAGATTCATTTTTTCTTTTCTTTCATTTTTTTGTAGGTTGATATTTTTACCTTATACACACAGACACACACACACAGAGACACACATTTTTTGTAGGTAATATTTTAAATTGAAATTAAAATACTATTAAGGCACAAAACAAACTCCTTAAACTGACAAAATTAACATAGTTTATATAAAGTATCTATATTATTCAACTATCAACAATAACTGATAACATACCAAAGCTATTAAATTAGTCATTTTTTATTAACCAACTTAACTTTAGGGATTATAATATAAAATAATATAAATGACCCCAATAAAAATAATTTATATAAATATGCTCATAGATCATAATAATTGGGCATAGACAGAATTTTGTCTAATGTGAAAATATTTAAGCAAAGCAGAGTAATGCAGAATTATTAAAAATAATTTTTAAATAAATATTTCATAATTTTTAAAAATTGCCTGAAATAATTTAGTGTTAGAAAAAAATAGGAATGAGATAATGTCATTATGACTACTTAAAACAAATTTTAAAAAAGAAGAAATAATGTTATGTGATAAAAGCAGAACATAAAATGCAGGATGTTCCAAAACAGTAGAAACCCATGTGTTTTTAAACAGTCTCATATTTTCTAATATCATCACTAAAATTTTCTTCAGACACTTTTTTTTGTAAACAATTTGAGGTAATGAATGTAATTGACTTGAAAAAAAGCACAATACAGAGTACTCATAAAATTTAAAATTGATTGGATCTATTGCTTTAACTTTAGAGGTATTTCACAGGTGTCTGGAGGCTGAAGAACAACATTGAACATATTACTTAAAAGTGTAAAAAGAGTTTTCTTAACAGGCATTTAGCCTCCAGTATATAGCACGTCATTCTCTAGCGGTTATTCACCAATGGAATGCCAGTTTGAAAAACTTCTGTCTTAACCAGCCCAGATACACATCTTTTTTAAAAAAATATATATATATTTTCTTTTGGTAACTGTTCAGACCCAAGCATAATACTAGGAACATCACACATATCCTAAAATAGTATATAAACCTTGCCTTAAGATCAAAAGAATAACAATGCTAGGACAAGCGACTCTGAAAATTGGATATGTAAATTTGGTTCTACAGAATATGACAAAAGCTGGAGAAAAAGAAGCCAGAGAATCAAGCAAGAATCCTCAGGAATGTCAAAAGTAAAACTTATCTGTGGATATTAAATCTAACGGAGATATTTACCCTTTCCAATACTGACTTGAACCAAAGGGTCTTAAGAGAAAATAGTCTCATCTTGAAAATGCAGCCAATTTAACTCTGTTCACTTTACCCAACAGTGGACACAGATGCAAGGAATGTAAGGAAAGAAAGGAAGGACAAAATCCCTGTAGGTCCCTTTCTTCCTCTGAATACCTCAGAGAAACAGAAGTATCTCCAACTCCCAGATATTCTGTACCCTATTCTTTTCCCTCCTCATCTCTCATTGTCACACTGTATAATTTAAGTAGCTGTCATATCACAATTTTCTGTGGCAATGTGTTTCATTATGACTCAGTACTCCTGTTTATTGGTATTTGCAATGTTGGGCAAATGTTTCAAGCTCCTTGCTCACTTCTGCTATTGACTGCAGTCAGCTCAGGTCCTCAGATGCAGCTACATTAGAATGAGAGTAGGAGTGCTGCCATGAGGTCCAGAAAACCAGGCTATTATTATCAGAAACCATAAAACAAAGATTTCACATCTAATTAATAGAGCCCAATGCATTCTGCCTTAGATCAGGGAAGACATAAAGGAAACATCGATCACAGAGGTGGAATGATTTGAAGTTTAAATTCTATCAAGAATTTCAGGGCTGGGGATGTGGCTCAAGAGGTAGTGCGCTTGCCTGGCATGCGTGCGGCCCGGGTTCGATCCTCAGCACCACATACAAACAAAGATGTTGTGTCTGCCGAAAACTAAAAAAAATAAATAAATATTAAAATTAAAAAAAAAAAGAATTTCAAATCATGGAGTATTCCTTTCATAGAAATTTTTATCTATTTGAAAATAAGAATCAAAATTCTTTAATCTTTTCTTAAAATAGGAAGTTATAAAAATTAGGGGCTATATGTTCTACTTAAGTGCTATAGAGAAATTGCCTGTCTGGATTTCTCCAAGGGATGTTAATACAGTTTAATTCGTAATAAAGTGTTCTCTGTGACATGATTCTACTCAAAAAAAGAAAACATGACTATCAAAACAAATAAAAGTCAGCATGAAAAATCAAAAAATCACACTAGGATTTCTAAATCCTAAAAATCAAGCTAGGATTTCTTATTTTCTTCATATTAGGATTGAAGTTGATTGATTTTTGTGCCTGGAACATGAATTCCTTGTATTGCCTTGAGATGCCATAGGACTAACAGATGTTAGGTGGATATGAAGGATTTGAGAGGACTATAGGAAATGGAATCCCAACTGCTGAGTTCTGCAAGATGTTCATGATCATACATGCACACATACGTGTGCACACACTGACACACACACACATACACACACGCACATACACACACACACACACACACACAGTTTCCTTTCTTCCATCCAACTTTTTGGACATTGTTTCCCAGTCTGAAACTTACTGAATTTCAATGAATGAAAAAATATTTTAAAAGAAGACATTTAAGCCCCTGCCATGATCTTTTTACCTCTAGGATCTTTCTTCTTCTTCCACTCCTTCCCAAATTCACTGGCTTTTGTATAGGAACTTGCTACCTTCTTGTTTTTAGATCTTATGTTTCTTTGTTTTTGTTTTTTTTTTGTTTGTTTGTTTGTTTGGTTTTTTTTGTACCACGGATTGAACTCAGGGGTGCTAACCACTCAGCACCAGCCCCAGCACTTTTTATTTTTATTTTGAGACAGGATCTTGCTAAATTGCTTAGGGCCTCACTAAGTTTCTGAGGCTGGCTTTGAACTCTACCATCCTCCTGCCTCAGCCTCCAGAGCCACTGGGATTACAGGCAAGCACTACCATGCCCAGATCTTTTTCTCCTTTTTTTTTCTTTTCCTTTTTTCTTTCTTTTACTTTATTCTTTCTTTCTTTTTTTTTTTTTTTTTTTGTGTGTGTGTGAGTGTGTGTGTGTGTTTTCCTTTTTCTTTTTGAGACAGGGTCTCACTATGTTGCCTAGTTGTACTCAAATTCCAAGGCTCAAATGATCTACCCACCTCAAACACGAGATCACTGAACCTACAGGCCCAGATGCTTGTTTTAATTAGACCTGCACTTCAATTCTATTTCCTCTCTGTAATACTCCCAATCCTGTCACCTCCAACACTCACACACATATACATACATGCCTACACAGCACCTGGTTGCTATATCTGAGGTCAGATAGTAGTTAAGGAGTAGGGAAGGAGAGGGGAAAAGGCAAGAGTGGAGCCGGAGAAAACAAGAGGAGGAGAGGGAAAGGGATGAATACAGCCTCCCCCAAGATCACAGGCTCCTTTTGCTGCTTAAAGAAGATACCTGGCACATTTGAACAGCAATCATTAAAAAATAAAAACTACATCTTCTAAATGTTTGTATTTACCATTTCCTTGTTGTCCGTTATCATCAGGAGATCTGAGTCTTCAGCTAAACAGAAGTGCAGACTAGAATTCCAGTCCATTTTCTTCATTGAAAAATAATAACAATGGTTACCATGTCTCATCCAGAGATCTGGGCAGCTAGGACAGCTGGCACAAGTAAAGCAGTTGGACCCTAGAAAGGAAGAAGACCTGGTTCATATCTTTATGGAACAAATAGATTTGGAAATGAAAAGGACGATAAAAGGAAATATGGCATTCTCAGTGTCTTCCTTGTCCCACCACCTTCAGATTGAGGTTTAGAGAAATGCGTAATAATGTGTGGCCTCAAACACAATGCTTCACACCACTAGCCTTCTCTTCACCAGGCAAGGATGTGCCTGTGAAGAGCAGAAAAGAAAAAGTAGTACACATGCCTGGGACTGTGGAGAGCATATTATTCACACCAGAGACCTCTATGCACATGTGATATATATTTACCAGATAAAATAAATCTGCATTTGCATGATACATATCTGTTTACTGTTTATGTTTGACACATACATTGTATAACTTCATAATGTACATTCTTAAATCAGGCAGAATCATTCAGGATATCCAACGTCAACATGATATCCCATATGGTGTATTAAAAAAAGGAAAGAAACTAGAAAGAACAAACAACTAGAATGAAAGGTTGATTATTAAAGATTGTCAGCTGGGCACGGTGATGCACACCTATAATCCCAGTGGCTCAGGAGGCTGAGTAAGGAGGATCGAAAGTTTAAAGCCAGCCTCAGTAAAAGTGAGGTGCTAAGCAACTCAGTGAAACCCTGTCTCAAAATAAAATACAAAATAGGGCTGGGAATGTGGCTCAGTGGTTGAGTGCCCCTGAGTTCAATCCCCGATACCAAAAAAAAAAAATGACTATCACCATTGGAAACTGAACAAAATACTTACACTTCTGCACAACTGATTTACTGTAGGTAATTAAACTTTTTTTCTGCTGGGTGCAACAGTGCACACCTGCAATCCCACCTACTCAGTAGGCAGAGGCAGGAAAATCACAAGTTCAAAACCAACCTGGCAATTTAACAAAACCCTATCTCAGAATAAAAATAAAAAGAGCTGGGATGTTGCTCAGTGGTAGAGCACTTACCTAGCTTGTGCCAGATCCTTGGTTTAATCCCTAGTACTACAAAAAAAGAAAGAAAGAAATTCTAACAGAGAAACATATCTAATGTTACATATCTAATATCTAATGCTAAAGTGAAAAGCATAGAATTTTCCTGAGTTCTTTTAAATAGACAATCCTCATTCCTTTAAAATGATTAGATTATAGTTCTTTTAAAAATAAGAGGGAGGGCTGAGGTTGTGGCCCAGTGGTAGAGCGCTTGCCTAGCATGTGTGAGGCACTGGGTTTGAATCTCAGCACCACATATAAATAAATAAAAAATAAAGGTACATAAACAACTAAAAAATATATTAAAAAAAATAAGAGGGAGAGTGATATTGGCCAAGTCATATTATTATATCATGTTCATGTAACAACAAGTCCTCATTATGTACAACTAAAATGTACCAATTTAAAAGTGTGAAAAATATGAGAAGTGAATAAGATTTCAAGATAATCTCAGACAAGATTTCATAATTTTATTGATTTTCTATTTCCATGAAACATATTTGAAAAAACTCATATATAAGCACAATTCTACAATGAGCAAGCATGTGTCATTATATCACATAAGCATATGTGTAGATATATGATTGCAGAACAGACAACTGTGGATGTAGCTCAGTGGTAGAGTGCTTGCAAGGCTCTAGATTTGATCCCTAGCATAATAATAATAATAGCAGAATAACTCACATATCTACTCCAGATTTAAGAGTTTAAGAGTAGAGTAGGTAGCCCTTCTCCTATGAAGATTAGGTAACTCTCTATGGGAAGGCCTGACATGGGACCAATAGAGAGTTCAGCACATCAAACTATTAAATTGGCACTTTATAGATCTGTGCTTTTTCCGTACAATCATGACCCACTTTTTGTCAAAACTTCCCCATTTGTTTTGTCAAAGTAGGACTTGGTGTGAGGTAGAGTCCTGAGGCTGAACCCTTAGAATCCTAATGAATAAGTTCTATGTAATCTGTCATTAATTATCCCCCATTACATAAACCTAAGTTAGGAACCTGACTGTGAAAAAATAAACTCCGTCCTCTGAATCATCAGATTTAAGGACCTTAAAGAACTAAGTCTTGGAAAACTAGTTTTAGAAAATATGAAGGCAACCAAATGCTTATGTGAGTGGTTAAACACCATAAATACTATAATTTAAATATGATAAATGTGGTAATAAGTAGGAAACTATTATGACACAATATGGAAAACCAAAAAACAATATACAACATTATAAGTATTCTATGGTCAAAACTATTCCAAGCCTTGTTTGGGGGTGGGGAGGATTGGAGAGATTTTTAAAAGACTTGTTTGCAATATTGTTAAGAGAATAAACACTCATATAAATGCATATAGTCCAAAATGAGGAGGCTACACTTAGGAAGTAGTTGTATACAGTTGGCAACTTATTTTATTTGAATTATTTTTCATTTTTCAAATGTTATACCAATTTTATAATGTAAAATGGATAAAATGAAAGATTAATTTTACCTTAAATTAGCACTTACCCTGGCACTGAATCCATTGGTATAGCAGTAAACTCATAAGAATTGCATTCAGAAGCCCCAGAGCTATTGCCACAAGGCAAGCAAGAGAAGGCCTGGAAGAAGCTACAAAAACAGAATCCAACACAAAATCCTCAGAAGAAAGATAAAGGAATTGTATATGGGATCTTGAAGCAACTGGGTCTAGTGGGAACTAAGACACAGGCCATGAAGATTTCTTTTCTGAATAAACCAAACTCAGAAAGTCAAGGGTCATATATTTTCTCTCATATGTAGAAGCTAGAAAGGAAAAACGAAAAGAAAGGTGGGGTTGGGGGAATGATATAACCAAATTATATTGCTTTATTGTGTGCATGTATGAATATAAAACAACAAATCCAACTATTATGAGCAAATATAATGTACCAATTAAAAAAAAAAAAAGATTTCTTTCCTGAATCTCTCAGGGACTTGCTTTAAAGTCTAAAGTACCACAAACACCTATTTCAAGAAAGATACTTTTTTACGAAGTTAAAGAAAACTTTTTTTCCTTTGAAATTGTGGCTTACTTGTTCTTATACTTTGGTAGTGAGAATACAAGTTGGTATAACCTCTTTAGAGGTTGAAGGAAAATTTGGCAATATTTACCAAAACTGCAAAGGTATTTACCCTTCAGCCCAGCAATTTCTCTTTAAGAAAATTTTTCTATAGCTACGTAAACATGTGCAAAATGTCATATTTACAAGGCTATTCCTGGCAGTTTTCTTTGTGGGATGAAAAAATTTAATACAACCTAAATGCCAATCAATAAAAGACCAAATATAGGGCTGGGGTTGTAGCTCAGTGGTAGAGTGTTCACCTAGCATGCATGAAGCATTGGGTTCTATCCTCAGCACTACATAAAAAATAAAATAAAAATATTGTGTCCACTTAAAACTAAAAGATTAATATTAAAAAAGGCCATATATATTTTGATATTCCCCTAAAGTGTGTTTGCAGCTTCTAACAACAGAATATTTGGAGTGTTTTGTTTATTTGTTGCTGATAAGGAGTGATTCTTAAAATATATAGTTATGGGAAAGAATTCTAAGCCAGGAGCTGTGGCACATGCTTTAATCCCAGCTATTCTGGAGGCTATGTCAGGAAGATCACAAATTTGAGACCAGCCTGGGCAACATATTGAAACCCTGTCTCAAAAACAAACAAACAAAAAAACAACAACAAAGAATCATTCCCCAAACAGGATGTACTAAGATTTGTGCAAGAATCTGATATGTTGTTTGCCTCTGGAGAAGACAAATGGGGAGGGACAGAGATAGGCCAGAGACTTTTTACCTTATTTTCTTTTGTACCTTCTGAATTTTGAACCATGTGAATGTATTAGCTACTCCATCTTTAAATAAACAAAATTTAAACAAAAATAAAATAACTTGCATCTCAGAAGTGAATGAAAAAATTCCTTTTGCTTTGTAAACTCCCATTATTGGAAGCACCGTGAGTTTAGGTTGACAGAATGTCTAAAGATGAAAAAAAGAATGCTCAAAGATGAAACATTACTTCATATTAACTATGCTGCATACAACTTATATCTAAGAATGATCTTTCAGTTTGAAAAGTGGAAGTATTTTCCCCAAAACTTTTTATTTCAAAATCGTAGGTGTCTCATAGTCAGATACTGTAGGTATTACATGTAAAGAGTGAAATTATGTAAACTTAAGACATTCAACTTCTAGTTTTGACTCCTTTATTTGATAAACCTTTAATTAGGAAATCAATTTTGCCCATTTGTACCTCATTTTTCTGTTTAAATTTTAGATAAATTATTCTGTATATATGCGTATCTATGAACTGTTCTGAATTGCTTAAAAGAAATTCACAGAGAGAGATGCCTTTAGAAAGAGAGAATTCCACATGACAAATATTTTGACTGATGAATCCAGAAACACTAGATTTCTAGCCACATAAAAAAATACATTTGTAGGACTGGGGTTGTGGATCAGTGGTAGAGCACTTGCCTAGTATGTGTGAGGCACTGGATTCAATTCTCAGCACCGTATATAAATAAAATAAAGGTTCATCTACAACTAAAAAAATTTATTTTAAAATACATTTGAACCATACAAGAACATTTAATGAAATAAACATTCATTTTAGATCTTATGTTAAATGATAAAATTTTATCAAAACATAATTATATTTTGTTGTACAACACCATCCAATTTGAGAAAGTAAAATAGATTTCTTAATTTATATTAATTACATATTATATTATACTTGTTCCAACTATTAAGTTCCAATTTATCACCAGTTATAAGATAAATTGAACTTATACTTCAAGATGTATATTAATATTTCTAGTCCTTAGAAATTAGCACAGATATAATCCAAAAGAAGGAAAAGAATATACAAATAAAATGTGCTATATAATTATAGCAATAAAAATAAATCTAATTGCCCAAGTATATGGGAATGATTTAGCATATTTTGGAAGTGCTTTTTTTTTTTTAAGAGAGAGAGAGAATTTTTTAATAGTTATTTTTTTAGTTTTCGGTGGACACAACATCTTTATTTTATTTTTATGTGGTGTTGAGGATTGAACCCAGCACCCTGCGCATGCCAGGCGAGCACGCTACGGCTTGAGCCACATCCCCAGCCCTTGGCAATGCTTTTGACAGACAACATTAAAAATCATTATCAATAAGACTATGTAGCAACAAGAAAGCTTAAAGAACTACACTAAAGAATATATTCTTCTGGAACTTATCTGCTTAATATATAAAATCAAATATTAATTTGGGCATTTACCCTATTATCTGTCTGTCTCAGATAGTGTTCTGTCAGGATTCTACATAAAAGGTTTTGTTTTTTTTTTTTTTTTTTTGGGGGGGGGGGGGGTTGTTTGTTTGTTTGTTTGCCCTCAACATCCCCTGAATCAAAGGGACTGCTTATCTGTAGTGTTCTCACCTTTTCATCCCTCATTACCATTCTGGTACTATACTAGAATGAGGGGGAAAAACACCTACAAATGTGAATTAGTTTCTTTTCTGACAAAATCTTACCATTACCAATTAGCAAAATTATTGGTCTCTTCCTCATTTCATATAAAAACAACATGTTTAGAAATTAAATAGCTGGTCCAAGTTTACTCCAAACATGATTAAAGAGAGAAACTTTTCCCAATACAGTTCTTGCTTTAGTTCAGAGGCAATAAAAAAAAATAATGCACTGTCCTAGCCAGGCATTAGATGTGATAATAGAAGTAAATGGCTAGAAAAAAAGTTTATCTGAGAACTACTAACATATTCCATACCATATACCAAATTTCCATACTCCAATTCATGACTTCAGACTGAACCCAAAGTATTTCTTCAGATTATCCTCAATTTTTCTGTACCCTCTACTCCAAAATTATTCTACTTCCTATTAATCTATGGTCTAGAGTCACTACAAACAGCTTCCAAGCTAACTTGGTTAACTCACCTTTTTGCTGTGATCTGTAGTCATTCTCGGCTTGTGCTGTGTTAGGCAACTCTAACATGGAATAAATATCACTGTCAGTCATCTCCACCTAAT